GACTACCCCCCAGTCCACCCCCAACATAAGAGAGGGGAAAAGAGAGTGGGGACACAAATGTAAGTGCAGACCTTAAGATGGGGCTCCACCAGGAGATGACCCCACATTCCAGAAAGCCCTCAGACCAAGGAGATCTTTTTCCCTCCCCTTTGTTTTCACTTTTAGAAATACCAACCCCGCTCGCTATTTGCATACCAGCGGTGAGGGACCTCCACAGAGAATAGGCACCACTCTTAGGTGGTTGACTTTTCAAGGAATTCGCTGGAGAAAATTGTAGGCAAGGCTGTGAACAAAATCCCCCTCCATCTGGTTTCAGTTTATTTAAAAAAACAACACACACAGGCCTCCCCACTAGCAATCAGAAAACAGCCACAGCTTCCCCAGGGGGGTATTAGCCACCAGGGGTGGGGCTGAATTATGTATATGCAAATAAATTAAACCAGCCAGCCAACAGCAACTAATTTTTGTATCTTTTGCAGTTGTTCTGCCAAGAAAAGGCCTGAATTAGGGGTGATGGAAGCTGTAAGGAAGCAAGTTTTAGAATTAGCTTTAACAATCAAGTTGCCTTAATTCTCCTGTTGGGAAACATGTTTCTAATCCAGAAGCAAATAAAAAAAAGGTTGATAGTCGTTCACCTGGGTATTGCCCACTGAATAATGCCCACCTCCTAGGCTGAAGGCCAGGGGGCCGTGCTGCCTGATGGTTAGGAGCATAGGGTCTGGATGGCTTGTGACCTCAGGCATGTCACTCTGAGCCTGTTTCTTTATGTGTAGGAAGAGGATAATGATAGTACCTGCTTCATAGGGATGATGAGAATAGTACATAAAATAAAGTCCAAGCAAGCTGAGCACCAACACTGGCATGCAACAAACACACAGTAAATGTGAAAGAGGATTATCAATAACTCAGAGCCACACTAGAGGATCCAAGAGGGATCACACTTGGAGTCATCCAGGCTCTCTCCCCAGGTGCTCTCAGCTGGGGCTTGCTTTTCCCCTGGGACTGGTCCAGAACACCCAGCAGAGCGCATTCTCTTAGTGTTTCCCAAACTGGAGGACCCTAATCCCCAAACATCTGCCTTCAATCCTGGGGACAGTAAAAGAAATTCAGAGAAGAGTGCCAGGCACAGTTTGAAAACGCACGCGATGCTCCTGGCATCCAGGGTCTTACTGTCTCCTCTCCCTAGTCACTGAAGAGCCTCATTTCCTGGTGCCCAGCCTAGATAGGATACCTCTGAAAAATGGAGGGTTTCAGTTCACACCTAGGGCACTTGGAGAGGAGCTGGCAACCTTCAGGGCTCCTATGCCACATGAGAGATGTGCTAGAGACCACAGGCATCCAGCTGCTTCTGGGCTCAGACCTTACATGTCCAGAACACCTCAAGCTCAGTTTCTCAGAATCAGACCCCTTCTTCTGTCCCTTATCTGGATGCAGCAACAAGATGCCCAGCCTCTACTTTCTCCCCCTTCCCCAAATCCACTTCCTGGCCAGTTGGGACAGAGGTCTCATTTGCTGAAGACCATTTCAAGCTCTCCTTTGGCTTCAGGATGAAATCTGAAGCCACATGTGGCAAATGAAGCCCTGTATTAACACAGTTCTCAAGAGCCCAGATATTGGGTTCAGGTATACCTGAGTTTGAATCTTGGGGCTGGTCCAGGATTCAAACTCAAGTGTACTTGAGTTTGGGACCTTGAGCAATTTCTTAGCCTCTGGAAGCCTCAGTTCCCTCAAATGTAAGATGGTCATAAAGATATCTACAATAAAGGCTATTGTGAGGCCTCTGCACCCAACCCAGGGCTCAGGACAGAGCAAGAGGTTTGGAGGCCAGTGTATGGCAGGAAGGTTGAGGGGCTGGCTGATTATTTCAGTTGGTTAGAGTGCAGCCTTGTAACACCAAGGTCATGGGTTCGGGTCCCTGTACTGGCCAGCTACCAAAAAAAAAATTAAAAAGGTAGGAAGGTTGAGGACGCAGCGGGGAGGGGGTGGCTGCCAGGACTAGGGAAGATAATGAGACCAGATGTGGACATGCCCAGTGTAAAGAGCCCATATGTATCCAAGGGAGGTGGCCAGGGGCAGCTGGACACATGGGCCTGGACCAAGAGGGAGGTCTTGGCTGGAAAGTGAGCATGGGAGTTAACTGTCAGCATGTAAGCGGGAAGATGAGCTCATGGTGGTGGGGAGGGCTGAGTGAGGCCTCCACAGATAGAGGTTCACCCACAGGGAAGAGAAGCTCTGGAAAGAGGCTCAGAAGGACAGGCAGAGAGGTAAGAGGAAACCCAGCAGTGGTGGCTTCACAGGCACCAAAGGGAGACAGGGCTTGGGGCAGGAAAGAGTGGCCAGTAGGGCAGAGGCTTTGAGGAGGCCGAGTTAGCTGAAGTGGGAGATGGGTCTATGCGATTTGGGGACTAGGAGGTCATTTACTGGTTACATTTGGTGAGGTCAGTGGGAGAACTGACCCCAGGCTAAAGTGGTGAAGGGGAAAGTGGTGATGGTGATAGTGGATAACGTTAGAGAAATGTGGCTGAGACTAGGGGAGAGAGTGCAAGAACAATGCTAGAGAAAGGCCATATTGGATTGAGGTTACCAGTGAGAGAAGCAAGAGCCAGTGTGCTTGCTGCCAGGAAAGGGCCAGCAGTTGGTCACACAGGGCCTGGCATGCAGTAGGAGCTCAATAAAAGTTTGCTGTCTTTGAGGACGGGGAGTCATGGGGTCTAGAGGGACTGGCCATTGGCAGGAAGAGGGACTCCTCTGCTACTGTGCCAGGGGAAGGAGAGGTAGGGGTGCCAGACATGAGCAGAGGGCAGGGCAGGGCCTCCTTGGGGACTCTGCTGCCCTGAGCTGGGCCACAGAGGGAGGGAGAGATGGTGAGTGCTTGGTGCCAGGAATCCCAGTACAGTCAGAGGACAGAGTATGAGGGCTCCTGAAGACTGCTACTCGGCACTCCCACCCTGGACTACTGCCACTCCCCTCAAATCCAGTAATCTCACCTGGCCTTTATCCCCTTCAGAGCCACGCCCTCCCCCAAAGGCCAGCAGATGGTGCCAGTGAGCTGTTGGACTCTGCTGGAGCAGACTGGAGCAAGCCTGCCAGCTGCCACCCACTGCTCTGTCCTCCAGAGCCTAAGGCATGCTAAGGGCTCAGCTAACCAGGTTTCTGACCAAAGGGGTTGGCTGGAGAGACAAAGGACTATGGGAGACTGTGGGCTGACGGCTTAGGAGCAGCATGGCTCAGGGGCTCTGCTCCTTCTGGTTGCCCTTCATTCCTCTGCCCTGCCAGGCCCTGCCTTACCTGCTAGGACTTCTGCCCTCTGCCCCCCTTCCCTTGTCTTTCCTGGAGGCCCCTTCCAACCCAGACTCCTGCTTCTGGCAGAGGCTGGTTCTCTACCCCTAGGCAGGCACGACCTGGCACAGTGCCTCGGACAGGGCTGGGCCAGCCTCTCCCAGCCATGACTGCCCAAACCACCTTCTACTTCTAGAATGTCTCCACCTGATTAGGGGTAAGGGATCGGTGGCCGAGGAGGCCACAGGGGGCTGGAGCATAGATTGGCACGGCCTCCTGGACTAGATAGTGGGATGAATGAGGGTGGGGGAAGTTTATATGAAAATGTGGTCCAACAAATCCAGACTCTACAGCTCAAATCAGGAAGCCAAGCCAAGGGTGCTGTGGCCGTCTCAGACTGGGCCATAGACTCAGGGCAACAGGAGTCAGTGAGTTTGGAAAAGGAATGTTTCTCTGAGTTTCCAGAGGCAGAATGACCCAGACGGAGGGAAAGAAAGTTACCGGAAACACACAACACACACAAATGTACTCACATGCACACGCAGGGTTATGGCATAGGTAATGACACAACCAAATGGCTCAGACAAACCATGAAGCCCTATGAATACAAGTGCATACAAACACAGGTACATAAGGTCATGCACCCCAGGTCAGGCACACACACCCTTCCCAGGCAAGTCCTGCCTCCCAGGGCCAAGGCTAGCTTGTCATCAGGACTTACAGGAGGAGGGATAGGTGGAGGCATAGGAGTGGCCCTGGGCAGGAGATGGGTCATTCGCCCAGAGCCTCCTCCAACCCCCACCCTGAGATTTCCTTTGCCCACAGAAATGGGGCATGCCAGGGTGGCAGAGAGGGTATTGGAGGAGGTATTGCCATGAAGCCCTGACACAGAGTCGGACCACCTGAGAGAGAAAATGAGCAACAGGGCTAGGACGTGTGACAACGATTCTACGACCTCCCAAGACCTGGAAAGGGCAGGGATGAGGAACTGGGTAAGGTCTGGAGGCCCACAGAAACCACAGACCCCCGCTGCCATGGGCTGCACCTACTCCCCTCAGCTTAGGGTCTGGCAGCCAGGTACTGGCACCAACTCCCAGTGCCTGGTAGGGCCCTGGCATGGATGCCAGGCACAGGGTGCCAGACACGGGGGTGGGCAGGGTGGGGGGCCGCCGGGCCACACACAAACGAAGACCTTCATATACACAGACAGTGAAATGCATCCACACTTAACGCCGCGTATTTATCCCCTGAGGATTCAGAGGAGCAGGGCAAGGCTCACCCTGTCCTAGAGGCTGCCCTCGCTGACTCCCCAGGTGTCCCCACTGGCCTGGCTCTTGGAGTGGAGGGTGAACAAGAGGTAACGGGTAGCCTAGACGCTTCTTCTGACTTCCCACCGCCCCTCCCCCGCCATACACTTGTGTGGCAGGACTGAACCCTGGAGGGAAGAGGGAAGCCAGAGACTCCCAAGAACCTGGGGCGGCCAGCCCGCTCCCCCGCCCTTGCCCCAGGCGGGTATCGTAGCCAAGAGCTACTCAGGTGTGAACGCGCGCGTTAGGTAGGGCGTGTCTGCCAGGCAGCGCACCGCGTGGGACTGCGACGCGTGTGCCGGCGGCGGCGGCAGCGGCGACCGGGCGAGGGCGGGCTGGTTCCCCGCGGTGTTCTGGCAGGCCAGGCGGCTGGGGCGGTGCAGTCAGTGTGGGGCTTCAGGAGGAAGACTCTGCATGTCTTCAGGTGTCCCGAGCAAGTGTGAGCTGGATGTGCTCACCTGGGAGCGGCAGTTCGGCGGCCATTGGCGCGTGGGTGGGGACACCGGGGTGAGCGGATGCAGGGCACCGGGGCTGACGACCGGCCCTTTCCCCAGCGCGGCCCGCCGCGAGACAGTTCCTCTTC